TAAAAGCAGAGGTTTTATGCATAAATTTCTCATGTATGTTTTCGTGTGATAAAGTAAGGAATTTTCAATCAGATACGTATTTCCAAATATTAATATTTCTGAGAGGGATATAAAAGAGTAAGTTTGAACGTCTTTTTTCAACGTCATTTTACAAGGTAATTTTAACATATTCTTAACCTTTGATTCCCGATATCTCAGTAATTATTCTGAATATTTGAATCAAATTTTATATTTTGTTATTTTACACTATAATCTATCATAATCCATTGAAAAGTCAATTTTGAAAATTTTCACCTTAAGGGCCCTTTTCGCATGGGACGGCTCATTTAATATGCATATAATTAATTCTGCTTCAAGATTTCATCAGCTTCGCAGCACTTTTCAAATATCTTCATACTTCTTGAGTTTATGCGTAAAAGCTTGTCCATTGAGGGTATGCCCTTGCAATATATCGATTTATTAAGACCCTTCTACTACCCTTCAATGAATCTACTTACAAATATACGACAATATCACTTGTCCTGGGAATGTACGGAAAGTATATGAATAAAATTATCAAATAAACATGGCCTCTAAAATATCTGCGAATAATATTTTATTTGATTACAAAGTACATTTTTCATTGTATAAAATAAAACTTGATCCGAATCTTAATTGCCTACATACTGCCTACATACTGCGTCAAATTTTACGATATGACGTTACATTGACAAGTGCATTTCGATCAGTGAATTGTTTATATTTTGCTGTGTGGGATATAACCAACGACAAATATGCATAGCAAACCGCACACGGCGGGTGTTACCGGTCGGCAGGGGATGCTCACTCCTCCGTGGCACCTGATCCCACCTCTGATGTCTTAGAGGTCCGTGCTTGTTCTGCTCCTATTTTGTAATGTTTAATGGACTTTTGAGCTCGAATACTGTTCGCTATCTCCACATATTTCATTTGTGATAATTTGGAGAACTGATGTTTTTGCATGATGTCATAGTAAACATTTACCGTATAAATAAGGCCCGCCTCCTTTTTGTAGTCTTAACTGTGCTGCGTGTTCTTCTTTTAGAAATACATTTTATCCCCCAAACAAGACCAAAGGATCCAGGAAGTAAAGAAGTATAATAAATGTTCTAATTAAAAACAGACTAATGTTCAATTTGAATACATTGTACAAAGTGTTACCTACAAATCCCTTTGTTAAATTGAAAAATTCATAAACGACGTTTTATATCTCAAAATTTTAGAATGTGTAGCCGGGTTTTATGACCAGAACTGCAGTAAACAATGTGGACATTGCCTCCAAGGTCTTTGTAACAAGGAAAATGGGATTTGCGATGATGGATGTGTTTCAAACTGGAAAAGACCTTTTTGCAAAGGTAAATCTTGTTTTCCTCTTGCTTTGCCAATTGTAATACAGTAATATGTTTATTTTGCTTATTAATCGAAAGCCATTGGTTATATAACGACTTTATTGTCGACCATGCGAAGAGAAAAATAATTCCTCTAAACCTATTTTAGTAGAAAATGTTCTTTTTTCATTATACATTAAAATAGCTGCTTAACTGCCGCAAGTGGTTACAAAGACTGCAATATGAAATCATCAGTATTGTCAATATCTATTATCGTTTTCTATAGAAAGGACCATTCTCTATAAGGCCGTTTTGGGGCCTACAATGACTTCAAATTTTCAAGTAGTATTTTTTCCTTTAAAAACTGCATGAATCAGTAGGCTATTGATCCAATTTAATGATAAATGTTGATTGGTTAATGATGCTTATAATAGTTGTTATAATAAAAGGTCACAAAGTAATGTACTATCAGTTCGTGTTAGCTTTAGGATAATGGGAAAACTTGAGAGGGTGGGGGTGCTAGGCAACTCCTCCACATGTCATAACCACCTTAAACCAACACCAAAATTTACATGTTAACTTCTTAAAAACATAAAAAGTGACTACAAGATTATGAACTTGGTTTAAGGTGGTTCTGACGTGCAAATAAAAACTTTTCGCTTCATTTTTACGATATTTGCAGGAAAATCTAATAAGTAAAAACGAAGGCTGTCAGCTTATGTAGATTATTTCATAATCTAAAGTTTCAGTTAGAGCACATTTTCCTTTTGAATAGACCAAAAAAAAAAAAAAAAAAAAATATGTTATACATTTTTAGTCCAAAAAACGTCAACTTTTTACCAAAACATCTAAAATCAAAGTACTGGGAAGACTGGAAAGTATGAAATTACATGTGAAGACAACTTTCCTTGATTTATTTACTAGAAAAAAAAAGAAAAAAAAAACCTTTTACATATTACTCAAGTGCGAATAGTGAAGTTTTTATTACAATCATTCCTTTTTTTTTATTACAGTTTTGTTTATTTATGCTACTTTTTTGTATTTGTTCCTTAGGAGTACCGCATATCTGTTAGTACTAGATGTGGTAAAAGGTGTCTTTGTTGTAGTGGGAAGATACATTTGCTATTTGTGATGTTAACTTATTTTTGTATAGGTACACATGTAACTTTTATAGATAGGGAATTACTGATGGGATGGTTTCATAATGGGAATTCTCGCCTCAACCTTTCAGAAGGACCCGGCTCATAATTTTCCGTATGAGTGACATAGGATTCAAATACATGTATTTTGTGTTACCTGGGTATTGCGAGGACTCAATCTATTCGGATTTCAGGAAGCAACGCACATCTTTGGTAGCATTATTAGCTACAAGAACAGCAGTTCTGTCTTAAAATATGAAATGCCAAGGGGCAGAGGAGTTCCCTAAGGTTACATGTGATTGCAAATAATTGGATGTTGCTTTTTGCCATTTTAGAATTTTTCACCCAAATAAAGAGATTCTCCGTTGTAAGTGAAGAGTAAACAATTTTGATTTATGCATGGTTTCATTATTGACGCGACCTCTTTTTTTAAGGTAATATCCAAATGACCCGCGACTTTTACTTTTAACACCGAAGACTTAGTAAAGAAAGAGTCACTAGCCGCGTTAAATGCCTCAGTTTTTGACGCGGCACTGGGAACGAAATTCGAACCCTTGGGCCTCAAGAATCATAATCATAAGCGAGCATCAAACCATTAGGGCCCATTCTGTACCTGGGATGTTAGTCCATGGGTATACTAAAACTTTTGATATGCATAGTGAAATATGCTGTTGAAAATCTTCCCGTTTTTATGTTGTGTCGTTAAAAGAGAGAGAGAGAGAGAGAGGGGGGGGGGGGCAGAGACTTGATATATATATATATATATATATATATATATATATATATATATATATATATATATATATATATATATATATATATATATATATATATATATATATATATATATGCATTTGTGTATTATATTTCAGATAGCATTTTTAATTAAATATATTGTTATAAATGCGAAATAAAATGAAATCAAAGCAGTTCTTACGATGTTAACTCATTTTACGTACCATCATATATCTTTAATACAGCCATTCTTTGTTTTATATACTCACTACTCATATGATTAATCAATATGTACTTGCATTAATATTTTAATCCTGTATGTTAATGGAGTCTTTATTTTTTGTTAATTTAGTATCTATTTTATTAATACCAACTCAATATTTATTCAATCACAAACAAAACTCTCTCAATGTTTTCAACAATTGATACACAAATACAATAGATACGCCGATACCATATTTCTTATATCAGCATTTCATGCGTAAAAAAGTAGCACATCTATAAAAACAAAAACAATTACAAATAAAACTTATATGAAATAATACGTTTAAATTAAATGATAATTAAAAAAAAATTCAACATCATACGGCATGCATTTTGTAAAGATTTACATTCAAAATACGCAAAATGTGAATGCTTCAAAATTCACGTCATAAAAAGTATCTTAATCCTTAAATGAAACAATCTTTGTATTCATTACTTTAATTTGATATACGTCCGACATAAATAAACAATTTTTCATCATTTAAATTTAGAAACATGCATAGGAACCTGATGTTTATAGTATTTCTAAATCACGTGACTTAGGCGATCGGCATAAAAAACAAACATCAGAATAATAAAAAATAATGATTAACGTAACATAAAATCTAATTTTTAAGTGATTTTTATCGTTGATCGGAAAATGACCTTATAGAGAATTATCCTTTAGAATTATACTGCTTTTTATTGTCGTAAACTGATCGTGATGTCTACATGATTGAGTAAGAAATAAAATCTATTTCCAATCATATGCAATTCAAACTGATATGTTTATACATGTGCATGTACTAGTATAATCACCTTACATGTATAAGTTTACTCCCCTGCCACTTTACAATATAAAGAAAAGTTCTACTAGCAATTTTCTATCAAATCACTCTCATACTTCAAAAATAATCCCCGTAGCCCGCGTGGCGCAGTGGTTAGAGCGTCTGCCCTAGAGTCGCGAGGTAAGGAGTTGATCCTTACGTCGCGGGTTCGAATTCCATTGTACATGGGACGTGGAGACCGGTCCTTCGGATGAGACCGTATAAACCGGGGTCCCGTGTCGCAGTAGGCACGAAAAAGACCCCTCACTGCTCAATAGCCGTAATTTGCCGAGCATAGGACAAAATTTGCAGCTCTCCACAGGCAAGTGGTGGCGTCACCATATGAGTGAAAAATTCTCTCGAGGGACGTTAAACAACAGACAAACAAACAAACAAAAATATTCCTCCAAAATACAAACAATACCGATATATCGATAAAAGAAAAAAACACCTCGAAAAAGCTAAATGTCTACACTTTTTATGAATTAAAACACTTTTTAATAGGGCAATTTCATGGTTCATGGCTCTTTTTCTTTATTTTTAAAAATACATTACAATTATTGCTGTTTTGGAGGGCAAAAATTAAAAGCCACCCGAGGAGTACAATATTAACCAAACCCGAAGGCTTGTTTATGAGAAAAGAGAGGGCATTAACAATTGTATTCCAGTCGACATTTCCCATAAGCTTTTTAAATATTTATCAATTATAGAATGTGCTGATGGTTACTATGACCAGAACTGTAGTACCCAGTGTGGAAATTGTCGAGTGGGATTTTGTGAAAAGAAAAATGGAAGCTGCCTATCGGGTTGCAAACTGAATTGGAAAGAACCTTTATGTCAAGGTAGACATTGAACATTTTAGTATTTTATATACTCATTGCTTGTATTTATCAAAGTTATCTAGCCTGTTTATTGTATATTTCGATGATTGGTTTAAATAATTAAAGAAAATGATTATTTTTCTTAAAGAAGTTTTCCACCAGCAAATTTAAAAACAACCCATCTCAATTACAGAGTGTGTTGATGGACATTATGACCAGAATTGTACTACCAGATGTGGAAATTGTCGAGAGGGATTTTGTGATAAAACAAATGGAAGCTGTCTAGCTGGTTGTAAACTAAACTGGAAGGAACCTTTATGTCAAGGTAGACATTTCAACACTTGCAGCCAGCTATTTACTATAGTAAATTTCTTACGTATTAAAATCTATAAATTTGTGTCTAGATCATTCTGTGATCCCCTTGCAGTCTTATCTAAAATCTTAGAGAGAGAATATATACTAGTGTTTTTTTAGCTCACCTGAGCCGAACGCTCAAGTGAGCTTTTCTGATCACATTTTGTCTGTAGTCCGTCTGTCCGTCTGTCTGTCTGTCTGTCTGTCTGTCTGTCTGTCTGTCCGTCCGTCCGTCTGTAAACTTTTCACATTTTCGACTTCTTCTCAAGATCCACTGGGTCAATTTCAACCAAACTTGCCACAAAGTATCCTTGGGTAAAGGGGATTCAAGTTTGTTCAAATGAAGGGCCACGCCTTCTTTCAAGGGGAGATAATGAAGAATTAGTGAAAAATTAGTAGCATCTTTTAAAAATCTTCTTCTCAAGAACCACAAAGCCAGGGAAGATGAAACTCATGTGGAAGCATCCTCAGGTAGTGTAGATTCAAGTTTGTTCAAATCATGACCCCCGGGGGTAGGGCGGGGCCACAGTGGAGGATCAAAGTTTTACATAGAAATATATAGGAAAAACATTTAAAAATCTCCTTCTCAAGAACAGCAAAGCCATGATGAGTCATATTTATATGGAAGCATCCTCAGGTAGTGTAGATTCAAGTTTGTTCAAATCATGACCCCCGGGGGTAGGGCGGGGCCACAATGGAGGATCATAGAAATATATAGGAAAAATCTTTAAAAATCTTCTTCTCAATAACAACAAAGCCATGATGAGTCATATTTATGTGGAAGCATCCTCAGGTAGTGTAGATTCAAGTTTGTTCAAATCATGACCCCCGGGGGTAGGGCGGGGCCACAATGGAGGATCAAAGTTTTACATAGAAATATATAGGAAAAACCTTTAAAAATCTTCTTCTCAATAACAGCAAAGCCCTAATTGGTCATATTTATATGAAAGCATCCTCAGGTATTGTAGATTCAAATTTGTCCAAATTATGACCCCTCGGGGTAGGGCGGGGCCACAATGGAGGATCAAAGTTTTACATAGAAATATATAGGAAAAATCTTTAAAAATCTTCTCCTCAATAACAGCAAAGCCCTAATTGGTCATATTTATATGAAAGCATCCTCAGGTAGTGTAGATTCAAGTTTGTTCAAATCATGACCCCCGGGGGTAGGGCGGGGCCACAATGGAGGATCAAAGTTTTACATAGAAATATATAGGAAAAATCTTTAAAAATCTTCTTCTCAATAACAGCAAAGCCCTAATTGGTCATATTTATATGAAAGCATCCTCAGGTAGTGTAGATTCAAATTTGTCCAAATTATGACCCCTTGGGGTAGGGCGGGGCCACAATGGAGGATCAAAGTTTTACATAGAAATATATAGGAAAAATCTTTAAAAATCTTCTCCTCAATAACAGCAAAGCCCTAATTGGTCATATTTATATGAAAGCATCCTCAGGTAGTGTAGATTCAAGTTTGTTCAAATCATGACCCACTGGGGTAGGGTGGGGCCACCCTATAAAAGTCTGAAATAGAAATATATAGGAAGATATGTTCTGATGAAGAACTGCAAAGCCATGATTAGTCATTTTGATATGGAAGCATCCTCAGGTAGTGAAGATTCAGGTTTGTTAAAAATGATGACCCCAGGGCATAGGGATGGGCAATAATGGGGGATCGAATATTTTACATAGGAACATATAGAAAAATATCTTCTTCTCAAGAACTGAAAATCATGTTTAGTCATTTTGATATGGAAGCATCCTCAGGTAGTGTTAATTCAATTTTGTTCAAATGATGATCCCCGAGGGTAGGGTGGGGCCCAATAAGGGGATCGAAAGTTTTACATAGGAACATATAGAAAAAAATTTCTTCTCAAGAACTGAAAATCATGTTTAGTCATTTTGATATGGAAGCATCCTCAGGTAGTGTTAATTCAATTTTGTTCAAATGATGACCCCCGAGGGTAGGGTGGGGCCCAATAAGGGGATCGAAAGTTTTACATAGGAACATATAGAAAAAAATTTCTTCTCAAGAACAGAGAAGCTATGTTTAGTCATATTGATATGGAAGCATCCATAGTAGTGTAGATTCAAGTTTGTTCAAATGATGACCCCTGGGATAGGAAGGAGACACAATGGGGGATCAAAATTTTAAAGAGGAATATATGGGAATTTTTTTTTTTAAAAAATCTTCTCAAGTACAACAAAGCCATTTGTTAAAACAAATTATATATTGACATGGAAGCATCATCAGGTCAGGTAGTTTAAAATTCAAGCCCCCCCCCCCCTCCCCGTAATCTTTTCAATACTGAACTGATCTGTGCTTCTGCCTTGCCAATGTGCTCGGGTGAGCGATGTGGCCCATGGACCTCTTGTTTATAAGTAGCGCTAGTGTAACATGATATATGTTTAAGAATTCTGCACTAGATTATTGCAATGTAGGCGTTATCATCTGCCAGATCGTTCCATCCTCAAAAGCTTTTGAGGCACTGATTTTTGCCTCAAATTTCATAGAACAGCATTTTAAATATGAGTTGTCCTGTATTATCACAGAAAAAGTAAATACGAGGAGTATTCAAGAAGATCACGAACAATCTCAATATTTACACAACCACAATTCAGATCAGCATGATATTTGGCAAACATATAGCCATACACATGTTTTATAAATAACATATGTTAAATAATGTTTTGCTCTGTGTTTGTGACGTCACAATTTGAAAATGACGTCAATATGTGGGTGACTTGTGACAAAAAAAAGGGACTCAGTCGTACTCGAGCAACGAACGGCTGTAAAGTTTAACGTGTATCTTGGAAATTCCTTTCAGTAGCATATAATAATTAGTTCAAAGTTTATGAAGACAAAAGACTTGCCAGAAGTTCAAACATTAGTTGGATTAATTGTTTAAGTGAAGAGAGGGAGATGGTTAAAATGATGTTTGTTCTGTTGCCCGGTAAAAGCAAGCTGGGAAAGATATGTGTCCTTAGCTGAGCAATTTCTTCTGAAAGATCGCCAAGTTACAGTTAGAAAAATAGTTGAATATCTTAACATAATATCGCTTACTTTACACTTTCAACATATCAAATATAATAAAAAGAAGGTATCCAAACTTTATCTATATTGGATAAACGACGCCCCAAGGACAGAGGACTCGGGTTGTGATGGTCACCATGCTAATTCTGAGAAAGGATATCCTTATTCATCCATCCTATTGCCTAGACCTGGACATTTCTGACAAACAGACCGTGTTTTTAAAAAAAAATATTTGCATGGTAAGAAATACTAGTAGGAGACTCAGAAAAATCGTTTATTTTCTGTTAACAGAACGCTACAGAGCATGTCAGGAGACCGCCTGTATCACGTGATTCGCACAATGGCAGAACGGTGGCAGATGTGCATTTAAATCGGAGAGGACTACTTTAAAAATAATAAACAATGAAATCTAATTTGATTTCTTTTGTGGAAGTAATTCAATTAATTCGCGAACTTTTTGATCACCCCCGTGTAATTCAACATTTCTGTATACTAACTCAAACAGAGTAACCAGCTCAATCATTTTAAAATAGCTCCCATCGAAATATGACAACTTTTATATTTTTTTCGGAATATCCATTTACGTAGCAAGCGAAGCTTATAAGCTTTCAAATGACGCTTGGATAGTTCCAATCATCTTTAAAGACTCTATTGCTTTGCAATTAATGTAGATATTAACAAATTGTAAAAAAAAAAAAAAAAAAAAAAAAGAATTGACTAAAAATATTTTGGACATGCGTGTGTTTTGCAGAATTGCATCAATTTAGGAAACGAATAATTGATTGAGACATTTTTGTAAAATAGATGAACGTTAATACATATTTTTTTCTTCAGAAATCACTTTCATTCTTACCTTTTTATCAAATATCCAATTTAGAATGTGTTGATGGATATCATGACGAAAACTGCAATCAAAAATGTGGACATTGCCTTCAAGGAGTTTGTGACAAGACAAATGGAACTTGCATGAGTGGATGCTCACCAAACTGGCAGGAACCTTTTTGCAAAGGCAAGATTGCACTCCCTTTTTCCGCATTTCTTACCTAACATAAGAATGGTAGTGTCTTTTAATTATTGCAAAAAGTATACTTACGTAAGACCTTAAAGCAAGTAATCTTGCTTGAAACTTGTCGCTTCATGAACTGAGTTCCAGAGTACAGTAAAGGCAACTCATTAGGATATGTAGTAATGAGGTCATAATGAGTTGTATCGTCATAACATTTGCTCCACTCTGATCGATATATATTAGGAAATATAGCTATTTAATATCAAATATAAGAATCTGTGAAGTTGAAGTGCAATGCACCATTACAAGACGAATGTGTGTACGTTAAATTATTTTATTTTATTGCATAGTTCTAGAGAAGTGATCTGCATTTCTCTGTAAATCATTAGATAATTTTTAATTTTCAATAACGTAGCAAATTCCCTAGTTTTGTACTGTTTTTTGCTTTGATTTTTTTTTCACAAAATAACGAAGTTATATCAGAAATCTGACTATATTAGCATAAGTTTTGATTAATTGATTGATTGATTGTATGTTGTTTTACGTCCGGTTCGAGAATTTTTCACTCAAATAGAGACATCACCATATACCGTTGAAGGGCTTAAACCTTAGATCTTTACTTGGCAC